CCTCTCTCTTTCTTTCTCCCTCTCTTTCTTTCTAAAAGTATTTTTAGTGTTGCTGACTGAACCTAGGGCTTTGCAGATGGTAGACAGGTCTCTCTCTACTGCTGAGCTGTATCCTCAGCACTCTTACTTTTTAGTTTTTGCAGTAGTGTCTTAAAAAGTTGCCCAGCATGGTCTTGAACTCATTCTGTAGCTTAGGCAGGTCCTGAACTTTGACCTCTTTATGTCTGACCAAGTAGCTGGGATTACAGACATGCACTATCAGGCTTAACTAAGATGTATTTCAACCAGACATCTCTGTATGTGGCAGCTAGTTGCTAGGCTATGTAGAGGAGAAATCAAGCAGCTCAAATTCTTCAGTAAGATTTAAGTTTATTTTGGGGTAGGAGAGATAGCTCAGTGGTTAAGAGTGGCTGCTCTTCAGGAGATCTGGGTATGATTCCCAGCATCATATGACAGCTCACAAATGTCTGTTACTCCAGTCCCAAGAGATTCAGTGACCTTTTCTGTCCTTCCTGGGCACAGACATACACAGAGGCAAACCACTCAAACAAAATATTTAAATGCATTTTTGTTCTTTTTTTTTTTTTTGTTTGGTTTTTCGAGACAGGGTTTCTCTGTGTAGCCCTGGCTGTCCTGGAACTCACTCTGTAGACCAGGCTAGCCTCGAACTCTCGAACTCAGAAATCTGCCTGCCTCTGCCTCCCAAGTGCTGGGATTAAAGGCGTGCACCACCACCCGGCGCATTTTTGTTCTTACTGGTACAAATTATCACAAAGTGATAGGAAGGTGACATTTTGAAATGTGCAGTATAGGTTGAAAGGCAGGATTCATTAGTTATTTTAGACAGGGTCTCAATCCCAGGCTGTCATAGAATCTTTAAAAAATTTTTTTTTCTAAGTAAAAACATCCTTGCTTTATTTCTTTAAGTTTCTGGCCATGTTTTAGCAATATTAAAAGTTGATACTGTGCCATACATTCTTTTCTTTATTTTTTTATTTTTCTTTTCTTTTATTGGATATTTTCTTTATTTACATTTTAAAATGAGATTTATTTTATGTATGAATGTTTTGGCTTTATGCATGTATGCATACTAAGTATGTGCTTGGTGCTGTGGAAGTTGGAAGACGTTATTGGATTCCCTGGAACTGGAGGTATGGATGATTGTGACTAATCATTTAGGTCCTGGGAATTGAGCCCTGGTCTTCTACAGACCAGTAAGTGCTCTAGCCTGGCTAAAACGCTTGGTATTCCTGCCTCATCCTCCCAAGAGCCGGTGCTGTGGAGATGTTCTGTCTTTTTCTGTTATTGTTGAGATTCAGATTATATTAAAAAAACTGAGTGGAGCTCGTAGAAATGAGTGGATCCAAAATGTAGTTCAGTTTTGCTTTTCACCTTAAGGACCTCAAATCGGGGCATCTGGTTCTTTACATTTCCATTTCCTCACCTGTCAAATGGGAGAAAGAAAGAGAATTTTACTTACCTCTCAAAATTGTTCAGGAAAAAAAATGAGTTTATTTACAAGTACATTAAAAGTAAGAAAATGCAGTTCTTAGTATTTTGTATAAAAGTTTTCATTGGCTTTTATGTATTTACAGCCAAGGGCAGTTTTTCTCTTTTTGGTGGTAATGAAGCTGAGCTAATAAAATACTTTAATTTTTAATCTTAATTGTCAAAAGATTGGCATTCAAGCATAGTCATTAGTTATCTTGAATAATGATATGAATTTTTACTTTCTCCAGCTTAAGACCAAGTTTGTTTTGGACCTTGATGATGCTCCATTTCCTGCTGTTGCTCTTTGTCCTTCTAAATCTGGAATATGACTAAAATAGATAGTTTTGCAGTGAGCTCACAGTAAAGTTCCTTTTCAGAATAAAAGTTTTGCTTTTATTTAGTCATGTTTTATTTAGATAAAAAAAAATCTTGTACCTCTTTTATACAGATTTTGAAAAACTGTACTGGTGGCTTCCAAGTTCATTTTATTTTTTATTTTTTGATATTAGATGTGAAAGTGAGAGTTGAATATTTTATTTTCAGTAGACCTGAAGGTTTGTCTTTAGGAAATGAATATTACCTATATGGTTTGGTTTCTGTTCATCATGCAATACTCTGAAACAAAAGTTAAGGTGGCATAAAAATTATTTTATTGTTGGGCTGGGCATGATACATGCCTTTAATCTGTGCATTCAGAATACAGAAACAGGTAGATCTCTGAGTTAAAGACCAGCCAGGTCTGCATGGAGAGTTTCAGGCTGCCCTTTCTATATGGAGAAACTCTGTATTAAGAATCACTTTTTTTTTTTTGGTTATTCTTTTGATTATCTAAATTTGCCTGGTAGTTGGTAGTGGATGTAGCACTTAGTCTTTGTAGCATTACGCTTAGTTACAGAAGTAAGGAAGGGGCTGAAGAGGAAGGGGCTGAAGAGTAACCAAATTTTGGAAACTGGTACTTTGGCAGATCATTTACAAACTTTGCTAGTACAAGATCACTAGGTTTTCAGGTAAGCAGTCTGAATTTTCAGTCCTTGAGGGATATTCAAGTACTTTGTATGTAGATACGGAGTTCAAAAGGGAGGTCTATGTTAAATATTTGAGAGTTACATTGGAAATTATAGGTATATAAGAAAAAGAGGGTAAAAATCTGGAAGCCCTAGACTTAACAAATTTTTATTTAAAATTAGAGAGGAGAAGTCCAATGTTTCCATTTCTTAAACATATAAAATGCATGGTAAGGAATTTGAATGGGAGAACTAAGAGTATTGGTTCCTCAGAAAGTAGACTGGTGTTATCAAGCAGGGAGTAGTCCAGGAGAATGCAACATAACTCTTTAGGAAAGCATTTGGAAGCCAGGGTGTGGTGGTGCACATATGTACTTCAGGAGGTCGAGTCAGGAGAATTCTGAGTTCCAGAACAAAACAAAAAGCTAGGGCTGAGGAGCTCAGTGGCTAAAGTGCTTGTTTAAAAGTGTTAAGAGCTAGAGTTGTGATGTGATCAGATACCAGCTCCAGTTGTGCACGTCTGTAATCCTGGTTTAGCCTACAATGGGATAGGAGTTGGAGACAGGAGAATC